CTGGTGCATGTGAAGCCTGGGCTGAATGCAGTGACAGACTGGAGGCATGTGAAGAAGCCTCTCTCTGTTGATGTCTGGTTGGCTCGGTGTGGAGTTCCCAGCCTGATGTCTGCACCTCTCCCTGATGCTGGTCCCTGGCTGCCTGTTCAGTGGGATTCTGGCTCCTGGTGGGCTGCAGGTCTCTGAGGACCTGTAGCAGTTCTCTCTTCTCCAGCTCTGCCTCTGCCAGCTCTTGCCTCCTCAAACGCTCTGCACCTAGCAGTGCACGCATGTCACACATCACACGGGATAGCTGACCCTGCACAGACAGGATATGACGTGAAGCAATAGAGTAGTTTTACGTGTGATGCCAATTTCAGCCAGGCTTTAGCTCCTGGATAGATGTCCTCGCATTTGACTCTAGAACACTTTGGTATACAGAGGAGTTCACGGTTAACTCAATGATTACAAGGTGTATTCCAGTGAATACAAATCCAGCCCAAATCATCACCCCACCACCACCGTGCTTCTCAGTTGGTGTGACGTGTTTGTTTTGATTGTGTTTGACTTCCAAATATTCACCTCATCTGTCCAGACAACATCGTCCCAGAACTCTTTGTTCAAATGCATCTTTGCAAACTTAAGCTGTGCTGCCATGTTCTTTTTAAAGAGAAGATGCTTTCTCCTGCAACCCTTCCAAACACGCCATACTTAATTGTGCTGTCATGAACTTCAACTTTTAATAAGTTGTAGCATGTAGAGTCTGGAGGTAGTTTGTTTGTTTTTTTTTGTTTTTTTTACAGTTTCTCTCAGCACTGCACAGTCTGACACTGGGATATCCACTCCTGGGAAAACTGGCAACTGTCTTGAGTGTTTTCTGCTTGTAAATAATCTTCCTTGCTGTATAATCAAACAGTTTGGAAATGACCGTATAACCTTTCCCAAATTGTTAATATCATTACTGATGTTAAGCCTCATTGGCATTGTCTTAACACACATCTTAATGCTCCAAAACAGCAAACTGCCTGCTTCTTTAGAGATTGTCATGCCAGTTAAGTGCATTTGATTATCGGCACGTGGCTTCAATTCCCTCTTAAACCCTTTGTATCCAGTAAAACTGTACATACACTGCTTCTGCATTCTGGCTTAGTTTTGTTATGTGATGTGTCATTTAGCTGTGTGGTTCACCTGAGGTTGTATTTATTAATTTTAGAACCTGCTACGAACCAGATTATTTTTTAAATGACCGATAAGTGTACTTTCTTTTTCTTTTCTTTTTTTATTGTGATTTTATGGACTTAAAAAAGATCTGTAAACTGCCACCATTTATGGGCCTGAGAAGGTGTCCTGCGGTGTGAGGAATCGGATATCATTTTCAGGCCTTGCTTATTTCAAAAGGACAGTGAAAAAAACAGTTCTCACTGTTTTTAAAAAATATGGCACCTGAGCAAAAATGTCTGAATGCTAAGATGACATTCACACAGTTCAGACTTCTAAAAGCATTTTGCCTTTAAACTTTCAGCATTTTTTAAATGATTTGCAAAACACTGCATTGTACTTTCATAGTAAATGTATCCCATGGTCACAAATCGGTGCTTTAGTACTATTCATAAAGTAAATCTTCTGTTGCATTTATGTGGTAACAGGACATTTTACCTTGAGCTCCTCCACCTCGTTCTTCAGCTGAGACTCTTTCTGCACCATGTGTCTCCTCTGCGAGTCCAGCCGAGACTCCATCTCTCGTCTCACCTCTTCCACCTTGCACAGCATCTCCACCCTACAGTTGACATTTAATGAGACCAAGTCATGATGGTGGTGTTACCTCTGAGTTCAGGCTTAGAAGAGAGCACAGAAGAGCTTACCTGAGCATCTCCACCTCAGTGCGCAGCTCCGCTACACAGTTATGTTGTGACTGGTCAATGGAGAGCAGCGTGTGGCCGCAACCATTAGGACACTCCCTGCTGCGAAAGCTACATTCTGACAGGTGAGCCTCCAAGCCCCGCCTCTCGACTTGCACGGGACAGCCTAAGAGGGAAAAGTCACAAGGGTGCAAAGGCCTCGCATGGAGCCACCACGTTATCAGTGTATAAGACAGGCTTCTAAAGCATCTCCACAAAGATGAAATTTATTTGCAGGCACGAATTTTTCCATAAAAATCATCTGTGTGTACAAAGAGGAGATAATCTACTAACACCACCAAAAATGTACTTTGTAAACACTTTGTGTATCCAAAGTAGAGTTATTAAATCTACAATGTAGTCACAGATCACTGCAGTCACACAACAGCAGAAATTTCAGGTGATTTTAGTGACTTAAACTGCACACCGCATGCACACACACCGCATGTGATTCAACCTACCACAGTGGTAACATATGTACTCTCCACCTGCCAAACACGGGTCACAGACACATGGTGAGCACAAAAGCGCACACTTGCATGTACATGTCTCAAACAGACCTAAAAATCACTCATTAAAGAATGAATGAAAGCCGACTCTCACACAGTGCTCTCTGTGTGAGGCTTGTGGGAGCTTTCAGTCCTAAAAGTGCACCTGTTCCTGGGGTAGCCAAGACAACAACAGCAGGGCCCACCTGTTGTTCACCCCCACAGACGTGTCACATTACAGTTGTAACATACACATCCATGAGGATTGCAGTTTGACTTTTACTGTCATAAAGACTCATAAAAACACACTGCATGAATAGTGTTTTGTCCGGTGTGATGTTGTCATGTACCTGTGTTAGCGCAGGATATGAAGGCAAATTCACACTCGTCCTCGTGTGAGTGGAGGCTCTCCAGGGAGCAGACCACCTCACACCCCTGTGCTGCATTCACACAGCGGATCTGCAGACGGTTCAGATCATTACGCATGTACCTGCAAATCAAACCAACACAGACAGAAACTCTTAGAGTGAGAAAAGCAGGATACTGTTATAATGCTACTGACTTGCATGAAAACTTATCTGCAAAACTTAAGAGTGCATGATTACGAGGAAGTGAAGCAAGCAGCACAACTGCAGGAGACGGAGACTGACCTGTACAGTGGTTTGAGGCTACCCACATCCAGTGGCAGTCTGTCCTCAGGACAGGAGTGGTGATGGACCAGCCAGGTGCTGATGCAGGAGCTGCAGTAAGCATGTTCACAGGGTGCCTGGAGGGGGCGCTCCAGCACGTCTCGACATACACAGCACAGTAGACCCTCATTCACGTAACCTACAAACCTCTCCAGATCATAGCCCATCCTAATAAAAAAAGAAAAAAAAGTTAAACAGATTAAACAACACACAGGTAAAGCAGGAAGCAGTCTTGTTTCCTCATTTGTTTCTTTTCTTTTTATCTTACCTCAGATGTCAACTTTCACTTCAACCAACTCCTACTTCCTTCTTTCTGCAGGTTTTGACTCCACTCTTTCCTCCACGGGCAACCTGCCGTCCTATCTCTGCCACATCCTCGCTCTTAAGACCATAAAGGTGAGGGTCTCCTCTCCTTTGAAGCCCTCCCCTACCTTTGAGAGTGCGTCTCCGTGGAGAGGTAACCCTGACAACAAGGGTTCAGGACACAGGAAGGCAGCTGTCAGACGGGACCAGATCAGATGAGAGAGACAGGCCGAATTACAATAAAACACTGAACACTGAGTGTAAAGCAGACAAATTCTGCAGCAGTGTTGTTGTCTAGCTATTAAAAACCTGTGTTGCTGTTGTGAAGCATTCAGAGATTACTGCTGTCCTTCAGCTGTTTTTCTCTCTCTTAATGACCCACCCTATCCTAGGTTTCTCCCTCTCTCCCTCTCTCTCTGAATGTGGGATTAAGATGGATTACACTCTCTCCCTCCATGATTGGATTACAGACTCAATATCAGATGGCACAAGAACGCATGATCACAAAAATCAAAGAGCACACCAAATGCCTGGACTCATCATCCTGTTCTCTTTATATCCTCTCAGTAAGACTTACAATCACACAAACAGTAATTCAAAATGACCCCGTACCAAGTAAAGCTCTCTTATGCATACAGTCCTCTGAAAAAGTATTCCCCCCTTCCTGGTTTCTTAGTTTTTTGTATATCTTCACACTTAAATCTTTCAGATCATCAAACTAATTTTAATGTTAGACAAAGATCTTCAGGATGCAAGTGAACCACAGTTAAAGTCATTTTACATCAATCTTGATGATCCTCAAGACAAAAGTTTAATTTTCTGGAAGGGTTGAGTCTAGTTACCTCTGCATAAAACTAACTGCATAAAACTAAACTGCATAAAACACTTCATTAAAAAAGCATCATATCAACAGTTAAACAAGGTGGTGATAGTGTAATGGTCTGGGGCTGCTTTAGGACCTGGATGATTTGCTGTAATTGATGGGACCATAAATTCTACTGTCTACCAGAAAATCCTGAAGGAGAATGTCCAGCCATCCGTTCTTACCCTGAAGCTCAACCTCACTTGAATTATGCAGAAAGGTTTGGAGGTTTGGATAGTTTTTTCCCCCCTTAATAAATGTCCTGTCAGTATTATCATTTAATATCAGTATTAATAATTAATATTATTAAATATCAATATAATTAAGTATTAGCGAAAATAACTTAATACAACTACTATATAAGTATTACTTTCAGGTACCCTCAAATTGAGTAATTTGCGGTAAATTTTGAAGAGTTGACACGTTTGCCTTAGCCTTGCAAAAAACATGTGAGGCGAGTTTACTGTGGTAGCTGTGCTAGTGAAACAAAATATTACGATTAGCAGCTTACTTAAACGGTTATACCAATATTTAGATTTCCCAAATATTCCTCCTTTCACGCTTTCACTGTGATTTAATGAAGGGATGAAGTGAGTAGTAGGTGAGCTCGATTCACAAGTTATCGATCGACCGGTTGCTGAAATTCAAGCGGGATATAAACTACATTGAATGCGACGGCTAAACTGTAGGGACAGAAGAACCAAACGTACCCTTTCGTTTTAACCACGCCCATTTGTATTTGTTCGACCAATCAGATTCTTCAAACTGTTCAGCGGGAGAAACTGAACCGCTGCTAGAGTCACTGAAGAGGAAAGACAAGACGAGTTCTGTTGCAGTTGAGTTAAAGGCTGCGATGTCAGGTGTTTTCGTCTAACTTTTAGCTCGTCGGGGTATGTACAATACGTTGTCACACATTATCTGACTTGATAATAAAGCCTAAATTAGACTTCCAACCGCGTTATTATCATCTTTATGCTAGTGTTAGCTAGCTGGCTGTGTAACAGGTTCATGTTGCTATCTAGAAATTATCGTGATATGCCGATTATTCCAGCATAAGCAGGAATTGAGGACGTGAAAAAGCTAGAAAGCCATCAGAGGGATAGTGACCCCAAGGATTTATGTATGATAAAAAAGGATTGAGTGAGTTATTTTAGTCTCGATATGCACAGTTTACCCAGTGCAGAATTTACATATGCAAATAATCCAAGTTTTCAATTTTTTGCTATTAATAGGGACAAATCATTAGCTAGATGTGTTCATATAATGCTAAAGGACTGTGACATTAAAAGGAATAGTGTTGGAGTTGGATTTGTTTTGAGCTGACGAGATAGTTTTTGCTACATGCCTCACGAAGTTATTAAAGTGAGTACCTTTGAGGAAGATATTTTTGTTTTCTTTTCCCCCCCTGATTTTAAACCACTCAAAGGATATTAAACCGTCTGTAATAAGCGGTAATCATGCAGTAACGCCTTAAGGCAAGTCCAGGTGTTTGTTGGGATTTTGTGTCAACCAAATGTTACTGTATTTGTATTTTATTAATCTGCTTGTAGGATCAAGGTTCTTTATTCATCACATGTATAGTTATACAAGTATAACACACAGTGAAATGTAACCTGACACGCTCCTTGACTTGTGCAAAGGGGGGACATTATATATAATATATACATTAGGTAATGTACAGTAGTAGCATGTATGCAGCAAGCAGGTGAATTCTGTACATTAAGTGAATTAAATAAGAATAGACAATCTGACTATTGTATCGGTTGCTTTTTGTCTTTAGGAAAAAGAAAGATGCGGCGCTCTGGAGCTCCCAGCAAGCTCTTGGGTAATGCAGTGAAAAAGTCTCGATTTGTGCCACCTGGTGCATGTACTTCACTTTCTGTGGCTCAATCCAAGCCTTTGACCCCCAAACTTGGTTCAGGCAATGCACTGGATAAAGTAAATTTTTTTCTCAACATTTTTCCTACAGTATTAAACCCTCAGTATTTATAATTCTAATTTGATTATTTTCCATTATTTTTTTAATCACACTTCCTCATATTAAGAATTCTCTTTTGTCCGTACCTCATTTCGCAGGTCCAGAGAAGCCTTGCAACACCAGGTGCAAGTAAGACAGAGTTTAACGTCCAGCCTGAAGCTGCCCCAGCCTTGTCAAAGGTTCTGGCTCGTGTTCTCAGTGCAACTGAGAGTAAGGAAAATGAGGCTGAGACAAAGCATCAGAACCCTGGATTAGGAGCCTCTGCTGAAGACTATAAACCAGCAGGTAAAAAACAAACAGCCATGTAAAGCCTTGTCTTTTTCTTGCCCCATCTTCTCACTTCTTATGCCCAATTTAATAATCATAGCAGCAATATGAAAACTTACAAATGTCAGTTGATTCCTGGAGGGAGATTCTCATAGTTTCAGCAATGTATGTCAGGGAATGTGCAAAGACAAATATGGGGACAAATACGTTTGCCTCATATGAGAGAGAGAGAGGAAAAAAAGACCACAACAAAGAGTGGAAGGCCAGGAGGGAAAGGAGTCTGATGAATCAGATGGACATAACATTGCTCATGATGACTTTTATATTTCTTTTAATTAAACGTAGTTCTTTTTTTAATCACACCCACAAATAGTGAAGGGTTGATGGTGTGATCACTGAGTTATTGCTACAACTTAGAGGTAGAGTTTCAGATAGGATTCTTCTTGTACCATGATTTAAGTATTCCAGCTGTGCCTCCCACCATTTTTCTTGACCGTGAAGAGTATACCTGCGTGTCTTTGCTTAAAGTTAATCCAGCAAGCATTCCCCTCTCCTTGAGGAGACAAGGAGATGCAACGTTTGAAAATGAGAAAAGCTTCAAGATTTCCACCAGAAAACAAAATCATGGTTCCATTACAAACTGTTATTTAAGATGGATAGCTCCTAAACCAAACAAGACTTCCAATTAGTTTTTAATTAAATGCAGGTGAGATTAAAAGCTAAACCAATTAACCCTGTGTGTTACAATGACAAAGACAGTGCAAGCCTCAGCATGCAGCATACCTGATGCCTCATTGGGTTTAGGTAGTTTAGTCATGAAGATTCTACTGAAACAGCCGTTTCTGTTTCATTAGCTCTCAAGTGACCAAGCTGTGGGCTCTGTTATATTTTATACATTAATATTTCTTAATGGGACTATTTTTGTTTTTGATAATTGTACTTTATTTATGACAAATATTCTAAAATGTCGTTAATTATGGTTTTCAATCGTTTTTAGCCTCAAGGCGTCTGGAGCAATAAATCTATGCAAGATTTCATTTTGCTTTATTGCTAATCTTTTTTTTTGCACATTTGTCACACTTACATGTTTGACATCATCAAATACATATTATAATATTAGAAAAAGACAACCCAAGAACTGCGATCAAGTGTTTGCGATAAGTAGCAATGAGTCTTTAACATCACTATGGAGGAATTTTGGCCCACTCTTCTTTGCAGAATTACTTTAGTTCAGCCACATTGGAGGGTTTTCCAGCATGAGTGGCTTGTTTAAGGTCATGTCAAAGCCTCTCAAACACATTTAAATCCAGACTTTGACTAGGACACTCCAAAACCGTCTTCTTCTTCTTCTTCTTCTTTTTTCTTTTCTTTTTTAAGCCATTTTGAGTTGGTGTGTTTTGGATCAATTTCCTGCTGCAGAACCTGAGCTTAAGCTTCAGGACTCAAAAGGATGGCCGGACATTCTCCTTCAGGATTTTCTGATAAAGAGCAGAATTCATGGTTCAATTGCAGCAAATTGTCCACGTCCACGTAGACATCAGAGTACTGTACGACCACTTTTGACTGTTCGTACGATGCTCTTTTTATGTAATGCTGTGTTACGTCAGATGTAACGGGATTCAAACCTTCCAGAAGGCTCAACTTTTGTGTTGTCAGTCCAGAGAATATTTTCCCAAAAGTCTCAAGGATCATCAAGATGTTTTTCTTTGGCAAATGTGAGACGAGCCTTTGTGATCTCTCTGGTCAGCAGTACTTTTCTCCTTGAACTCTCCTATGGATGCCTTCTCTTTGTTATTGTTGAATCATAAACTCTGACCTTAACTGAGGTGAGTGAGGCCTGCAATTCTTTAGATGCCGTTCTGGGTTCTTTCGTGACCTGCTGGATGACTCGTCGATGCACTCTTTGAGTAATTTTGGTAGACCAGTCATTCCTGGGAAGGTTCACCGCTGTTCAGTTTTCTTCATTTGTGGCTGTCAGTGTGGTTCACTGGAGACCCAAAGCCAAAGCCTGACTGACAGTTGTGAGTCAGTGACTTTGTTTCTCAGCTGTTTCTTTAGATCGTGGCATGATGTGTTGCCTTATCTTTGAACCTACTTCACTTTGTCAGACTGGTTTTAGTAACTCAGCAGGTCTGGCATTAATCAGACTCGGGTGTAGACAGAGAAACGGAACTTAACTTTCTAAAAATTGTGGTTAATCAATTAATTTATGATTTTTCAAAGGTGGCAGTTAATTTTTCATGTAGGCTCGGATAACTTTCCCCCCTTAATACATTATAATTTAAAAATTACTTTTTGAATTTACTCAGGTTATTTTTGTCTAATATTTAAATTTGTTTGATGATCTGAAACATGTAAATGTGACAAATATGCAAAAGATGAGGAAGGGGGACAGACGTTGTCACACTGCTGGCAATTTTTTTTTTTGCCTCAGGGAAAAAGCATCATGTATATTAATGTGTACATACAGAACAATACTGATTCTGTTGTCTTTTTAAAAGAAAGACAGAGATGATACAAACACTGTCACCTTGAACACAAAGCTCTGCTGTATATTTACTTGAGCCACACCATCTACTTTGCATTCACAGCCACCTGCAGTCCATATCAGTACAAAAGAAGAAATATTAAATAGTAAATAAACAACACAAAAATGTGCAGTGACTAGAACACAAACCGGAAAATCCTCCAGGATTTCTATAAACAACATAATTATAATAATATACAAGATAATATATCGTGTTTCTAAATCCTTTAAACCCTGAACCATAAAATAACTTTCCAACTTTTTGAAAATGTAGCGTACAATGACTCTTCTGACAAAAAAAATATTAATTTGATATATGAGATTAAATTTGTATCATATTTGCAACATCGGGCATTTTGCTTTTTATTTTTTGTAATTTATTCCTTAAAAATGTGTCGTGCAATCTATTTTGGGGTTTTTTGGGCTACATTTGTATAATCGGTTAATCGATACACAGCATTAAAGGCAGGGACGTTACTAATTACAAATATTTGGCTTGAGGTTGTCGGTCCTAAATGGATCATTCAGGACCTGAAGCTTTTTCATGTTTGCTGTGTAAAATAAGGTACGGCTGGCCCCAAAAGAGAGTTTACAGCTACTGGCCTGTCCATGTAATTTATAACACTGCTATTACATGGTCATCATCATCATCGTCATCACCACCACATTAGCGATTATTCCTCATAATGTGCCCTACACGTACCAACCACTGCTGTTTAAATTCGCTGTTATATTGCAAAGTCTAACTCGAGCAAACCCCGCGCAGAGGCTGCAAGCAGACACTATAATGAGATATAACGTTTATATAAATAGCATTCCGCTCTGTCTAATAATAACACGCACACAGGATAGATGTTAAACCGGGCGGGCGAAGGCTGAGTGACAGCAGGTCCAGCATTATGCAAATTAGCGGCCAGATTCGGACTGTGCTCGGGATCAGCGTCTCCTTCTCCTCCCCTTCCTCCTGTCGGAGCAGCCAGTGCTTCTGTTTTACTTCCTGAGACCGCGCGGCGCGAGCACGCTTTCCTGGAGCTGTTTTTGCACGCGCCCCACACACGTATTTAATCAACGGAGTCGCCGCGTGCGCTGCGGAGCTGGCGTTCCCCGTCTGCATTCGTTCTACACTGAAGCACGGCCAGAAGCGCGGGTTCCACGGACATGCGCAGCGCGCTCACAGACCCCTCCCCCCCCGGTTCAGTTAGTTAAGCCGGCGCTGATTCAAAGCATCACTCACTTTAGGACGTTAGACATGTGACACTTTAACACCTTACAGTGTGCTGTTTGCAAACTGTTGTGGCACATGTGCAGAGGGCAGTGTCCCTCTGCAGCACTCCCTTTGTCACACTGTAGAGCCGGTGTATCTCTGCTGTGCTCTGTGCTGTGCTCGGTTTGGGGTTTAGAGAGACCGAGCTGTAAGTAGGTCGGGCTGGGCTTAAGCGGCTTAGCTACGTCAGCCTAAGCTGGGAGGAATTCATCCAAAGCCCTCCGCGGTAGGCGGGGGCCTAAACGAGGCTGGCCTAGTTAAGCCTGATTCTTATTGTGTGCAGCACAGCCTGTTTTTGTTGTGCAACGTAGCTGAGAGGGAGTCCAGGAGTAGTGTGAGAATCCATGCACTTGTTAGACATAGCCTATGTTTGATTTGGAGAGGAAGAAGACGAAGGGGGGAAATGTGACATGTCTCTGAGTTAGACCAGTGTTGGTGTGTCACCGTGGACCAGGAGAAGAGAGCGGCGGGGACTGAAAAAAAGACAGGTGGGAAGAGAGAGGAGCCCACACCACTGAGTGTGGTTACTAAAGGGTGACAGCCATAGGCCAGACTTGGTCTGCGTGAGCCCAGTATGCTAGAAGATGGCATCCAGCTCTGTGTTTTTGTCCAGTATGGTGGGTAAAGCCCGCTCCTCCAACTTCACCCTCTCTGAGAAGCTGGACCTGTTGAAGCTGGTCCGGCCTCACATCCGAATCCTGGAGGAGCACACTAACAAGCACGCGGTCATCGTGGACAAGAACAAGTGCTGGGACACTGTTGCTGAACAGTACAATGCCCTGGGAGGAGACAGACCCCATCGCACAGCTCAGGGCCTCCGGACCCTCTACAAGAGACTGAAGGAGTCAGCCAAGCAGGAAGTGATGCAGAGGAGACACGCCCAGCCAGAGTACAGAGCAAGCATCTCCGAGCCAACCAGGAGAATTATGGAGATGATCCCTCACCTGTTTCACCACGTGCCCATCCACGAAAAGGACCAGGCGCTGCGCAGGTACGGTTGCACTTATGAGAACACATACACACACACAAAGATAAAGGATAACACAAGTCACATGAGAGTTTTGGACATACCGAGGGAGAGGAGGGGCTGCCGTTCATGCTCCCAAACCCAATCAGATTACTCACTGAACACTGTCAGGCTCAAGAGGACATACTGCATGACCTGCCATCATTTACTGGCGGCTCATCAGTACATTTGGAAAATACATAGGTCTGGTTTTCACATTGATAATTCTATCAGAAACTTGGCTCCAAAACAATTATTTATCTTGTGTTCTCAGCACTACAAAAAGTAAGATGCTGCTAAATATCCTCATGCTGGATTAAGAGAGTACGCAGAGGAGAAAAATACACTGAATAATTCAGATTAAAAGGCAGTCATCACAGTTAGAAATCCTAGTGATGAATAAGAGTGGGATCAAAAACGCTTCACACGTGTGAGGTTGTAACCACCAAGACTTGTTGCCAAATCCTTTAATTTCCTTTCACTCCCTTTAATGTTCCCTGATCATTCACCTAATTCTTTGATTGATTTACCCACCTGCAGAGGTTTCAACACACTTCACATAAACAAGATATAGTAAATGCTGCTTAAGCACTCCAGGCTCACTTATTTATTTATTTTTTTAATCCTGTTTTTCCCATTTGTAGATTAATATACAGCAAGCACAACTCTCCTATCGAACATCCTGGCAGCAGCTCATCTCTGGCTGGACTTCAGGATTACTCTGCATCTGTCCCAAGTATCCCTCATGAGGTGGTCCAGCTGGACGCTGAACAGGATGTAAAGCCACCGCCAGACCTTCCCATCCTCCCAGCGCACACAGGGCCACGGCTGGAAGGAGGCCAGGAGCGAGAGGGAGAGCAGGACTTGGGCAGCATCCATGATTATGAAGCGTCGTTATCTCCAGCTCCTTCCTCTGTTAACATCCCTCTCTCCACCTCGCCGCTGCCCTTACGCCATGAGCTCTACCCCAACGACATCTACCCTCACCACGAGCCGGACAGGTTTCGGCCTCTGCAACTGGCCAAAGAGGAGCACGAGCTGGTGCTGGCCAATCACAGGAAGGTGGCCCTGTACCTGGAGGAGAAGAGAGAGGGGCTGAAGAGGAAGCAGGAACTGGAGGAGGAACTGCTGCGAGCCAAGATCAAAGTGGAGAAACTGAAGGCAACCCGACTGAGACACGGACTGCCCATTTCTCTATAACAAGTATCAACATGCACTTCTGTGGTCACTGTGAGAAAGGGAGGGGCTCTGAGTAGTACAGTTTTTAAAAAAAAGAAAAAGGAAAAAAAGTGCTTTGGAGCAGTCACCAATTTTGTTTTATTTTGGTTGTGTGAGATCAGTTTCAGGACTTGACTTTCTTTTGGAAACATAGTGCCTCGTATACACACAGATAACCTGTTTACGTCCTGCAGGATAATTAGGATAATAACGCCTGCTGCCATCCGTCTTTGTGCTTGTCTGTGTTAAAAATGCATCATCGTGTCCATGAGTACCAAAAGTGGGGACAAACATCTATGTAATAAAACAAAGCGCACATCAGTAACACTGTGACAGGCCAATATGTATAAAAGTCCAAATTTTGGAAGGGAATATTTGTAGTATTGACTGATAATGTACCTCAGTGGTGCTCTTCCTGCCTACACCTACCACCAGTCTCTAATTACAGGAGTGCCAGCAAGGCATTAATGATCTTTATTGTCTAAGATTGTTGGAAAAATATGAATGTAAGAGTTAAAGCATTTGATGTCAGTGTGAGCGACGTGTTGTTATCTCTGTGTAAAGAACATTTCCACCCATTCTGGCATCTGTAGAAATCCACTTTCCACTAGAGGTTTTGGTTATCAAAACAATTTTTATAGCCGCTTTTATTCATTCTGTAGACTTCGTACAAAAACCATTCATGTCGCCACAAGAAAGCACTCCAGTAGCAAATTTTAGAGATACCAGGACTGAAGCACAAGGTAAACTTTTGAAGGCCTTAATCTGTTATTGGGATAACAAAAATGTTCGAGTGAGTAATTCTCGCTGGTTGCTGAACTGTTGACCGGCTGCGCAAACAAAAGAAGGGAGGGGCCCTGATGGTTTTTGGCGTTACTGCTATTTATTGTGAGTTCAACATTGATTGTATTGTACTGTTGTTATACAAGTGTTGCCCATTTCTCTTACTGTTTGTCTATGCGTTCACGTGTTTGTATTAAAAAGAAGATCCATTTTCCTCTGGTCCTCTGTTTATTTCCAAGTCACGTGTTCCACTTTTATAGGAAATCATCTTTAATCCGTCTTGTAGAAGCTGATGAAAGATCATAAGGTGACCGCATCTGCTGACATTTTCATTGTTTCACGGTGCTAACTGTTTGAGCCTTGTACATGTTGTATTTTGTTTCCATGATAGGTGGAGCCAACAATGGCGTGTAGAAGCCTTTATGCTGAAAAGCTTGATGCGACAGTGACCTCTGCTGGTCAATTTCCTGTGTACATCTGGTGGATCTGACTTTGTTTTATGTCTTTGTGTTACAGGAGTGAATGATGGCCCTCCTGGGTCTCCCCAAACCCCTCAGCCTCCTGCAGGCTCAGACTCTGGCTGCAGTCAGGATGGGGCGCGTTACTTCAGTGTGGTGTGGTGTAAGGCCAGCAAGAAGAAACATAAGCGCTGGGAGGGAGACGCAGTGCTGGTGACAAGAGGACGCACAGTCACTCTTAAAGATATGGAGGGGAAGGATATCGGAAAGGGTAAGACGGACACCAACATCAAATTTTAATTCGTCACCTGTATAGTTGTTGCTTGTATTTAAAATGACAACTGCCCAATTTTAATATAATACTATATACAAAAAGCCTTGAGATAGCCTGCATTTCTTTATATTTGGCTTCCAAGAAGCTAGACTTGTAGTTCTCCAGGCTTTCTCAAGGACTTTCAAAGTTTTTCTTTGAACATCAGCTACTTTTTCACTCATTTTCAGTGCAGTCTTGTAAATGCAGATCTATGAATCATTCAAGCAATAAAAAGGCACCTAATTCGAAGGATGAGCCAGTGTTACATAACAAACAACTTGGCAAAGACAAGTACTTTATCATTAGCAGCTTGTCAGAAAAATACATAATTTCTTTACATTTCTTTTGTCTAATCTAACAATAATATCAAAGGTGACAGAGTGTGAAAGGCATAAAATGTGATTTTTGCACCAAAAAACTCCATTTACACATTTCAGTAAATTGCTGAACCTATTTATTTCACATTTTCCTTGCAAAAGATAAAGAAATTAAGACTGACTTAAGACTCAATGAAAGCAAAGTAATCAGTACTGTAATTAAAATTATTTACCTGACATTTATTTACTCAAGATCACATATAAAAATAATAGGAAAATACCCAGGCTTCTGTCAAGTAAGGTATTATTGCCTCTTTGCCTTAGTTGTGCATAGTCAGCCCCAGAGGCCTGTTTTTGGATCATGAAACACTGGAAAATAGTTAAATACTCAAATCTTAAATAAAATTCTACAAGCATACTTTTTACACTTAACTGAAGCTTACTGCATTAAACATTAAAATATGCTAAAGGGCTAAGTAGGTCAATACTAGTTGATTTCTCCTACTACACGTGATCCTGACAAGTGTGCATATCTGAACTGTAGGTAGTGGCTACAAGGTGTCGGAGCTGGCCTCGCTTTCCGAGGGAGAGACTCTCATGATTGGTGGGAAAGAGGTGGAGGTGATGGGAGTCATTTCTGCTGAGGACTTTGCCAAGGGGCGCTGTTTTCAGGAGGTCCAAACAGAGCGAGTGGAGTTAAACACAAAGTCTGCTCCACCACCCTCCTGCCGCTTGGCATTCAAACCTTTTTGCCCTCCAACAATGGTGGGCGGAGCGGGCCACAGAGAAACAAAACCAGAGGAGGAACAAAATCGCAGACCTCGCCATGACCCCCTCGCTCCAGGTGTGTGGATAAAGTTGGAGTTTGATGATGCATTAAGTTATTACCTACATAAATTGGCAAAAAATATATTTATATTGTATTTTAATAATATTATTTCATATCGTTTTAGGTGCACTGGTGATGCCTCGCCCTTCCGCCAACCACCAGTGGTTAAATAACAAGTCAGGGCTTCCTATGGTCGATGTTGTGCTTGACCCACACCTGACCACACACCTGCGACCGCACCAGAGGGATGGCCTGCTCTTCCTCTACGAGTGTGTCATGGGCATGAGGTGACAGTGCTGTTTGGCTATCATGAAATGCTGTGCAAAAAACCTCTTAATCAATCTGTTGTAGCGCCACACAAAAAACAAAACAAAACGGAGCCACTGGTTTGATGTTGTGCTTATGTTTCTGTGCTTCAGAGCTGCAGGTTGCTACGGTGCGATCCTGGCCGACGAAATGGGTCTGGGAAAGACTCTCCAGAGCGTGGCGCTGTCTTGGATGTTGCTGAAGCAGGGACCTTATGGTGGGAGGCCAGTTGCTAAGCGTGTGCTTGTGGTTACACCTGGCAGCCTGGTACAGAACTGGGCCGCAGAATTCAACAAGTGGCTGGGCCGTGAGAGGATCAGTGTTTTCACTGTGGATCAGGTTATTCTGTTTTATAATCACAAGTCCTTGGTTCAGTTAATCATGAAACAACATGATTTTATTTGGAAAGTGAATGTGAACTCACTGCTTTAGTGCATATGTATATATCCTGTTATCCATTCTGTATTAAAGTGCATACAGCAACAAGTCACACTGCTTAAAACTCAGAAGGAACCCACATGCTCTTAGGTACATGTCTGTGGTTTAAAAAAAATCCATCCATTTTATTATAAGCTTTCTATTTTATTCTATTGCAATAATTCTTCTCTCTTATTCAATGACTTAATTATGTTACTACATTTTTATTGCCGGCTTTTCTTGATTTAATATCTTTTTTGTAAATAATTAAAATGAGAACAAGTATCTGAATGAATCATCTACTTTAATCTGGAGTTTATTAAGTAATTCCATTTTTTTCTTCATTGAAATGTATTTAGGACCACAGGATAGAGCAGTTCGTTTTGTCCCCACTGCACACCGTTCTTGTGATAAGCTATGAAATGCTGCTGCGCTGCCTGGAGCAGGTATGTTCTCCCGATGTCTCATAGCGTGCTTTTTCCAACGAAGCTGTTTGATCTTTGTACTCTTATCTTGTAATTTCCTTCTGTTTTCAGGTCCAGAAAGTTGATTTTGGTCTTATAATCTGTGATGAGGGTCACAGATTAAAGAATAGCAACATCAAAACATCATCAGCCCTCAGCAGCCTCAAGTGTAATCGCAGAGTCATACTTACAGGTAAAAGCGATAAGGGAGTTTCTGAAGGGAGTTTCTGAATGGCAGCTACAACTGCTTGCAGATGTTTTATAACAGACTGTTTTTTGTGCTTTTGAAGGCACTCCAGTTCAAAACGACCTGCAGGAGTTCTACGCCATCATTGAGTTTGTGAACCCTGGGATTCTGGGCTCATCGACTGCTTATAGAAAAGTATACGAGGAACCAATCCTGCGCTCCAGACAGCCCTCATGCACAGAGGTAATCCCATCTCCTTTCTCTTTCCTGTGCAGTTGTTATAAAAATGTTATCTGGTGTTAAACCTGATCTTACATCTTCCACTGCCAACAGGAAGAGAGAGTTTTGGGAGAGGAGCGAGCGGCCGAGCTCTCTCGTCTGACTGGCATGTTCATCTTGAGGCGGACGCAGGAAATCATCAACCGCTACCTGCCTCCTCGCCTCGACTGGACGTTGTTTTGTGAGCCGTCCCCTCTGCAACGAGAGCTGTACAAGCACCTCCTCTGCCACAGAGTCTTCAGGGCCTGCCTTCAGGGCTCCACTCAAACCCACACACATCTGGCTTGCATCACCGCACTGAAAAAGCTCTGTAATCACCCCGGACTGCTCCACGTCACTGTTAAGGTTAATTTTTTTATGAGCTGGCTGGGGGGACAGAAACCTGTGATCATAGTGGAAACTGTAAATATATAATCGTGAATCCCAGTCCTAACCATGAACATGGGTTGTTCTGTTGGTAGGAGAGGACAGATGCTGGCTCTATGGAGAGTTCATTATATGAGGGGCTGGCAGATCTCTTCCCAGAATCCTATTCTTCAGGAGGATTCACCATGGCTGACTCTGGAAAACTGCTGGTTCTTACGGACCTGCTTGCCGCCATTAGACAGCTGAGCTCTTCAGACAGGTGTGTTTTTGTGTGACGCTAAGACGCTATTGATTGTTTGGATCATCTGGATTTTTTTTTTTTACTTTATTTATCAAGCATCACATTTGATAGTAGGTGTGCTCCTGCAGGGTGGTCGTAGTGTCAAACTACACTCGGACGCTAGACTTGCTCCAGGACCTGTGTGTACACATGGGCTACACCTTCTGTCGGCTGGACGGACATACCCCCACGAACCAGAGGCAGCGACTGGTCGACAGTTTCAACAGTCCCTATTCTCAGAACTTCCTGTTTCTGCTGAGCTCTAAAGCAGGTGGGGTTGGGCTTAATCTCATTGGCGCTTCCCACCTGGTGCTATACGACATCGACTGGAACCCTGCCAACGACATTCAGGTAAAATACAAACAGTAATAGTCTGAAAAGGTAGAAAAACTCAAATGTTGGGGTTGTTTGAAGTCTAAAAGTGCCTTTGGTTTTATTGGTATCCATCGTGAGCTGTATGTAAAAGATGGACACGGTAACCATGACACGGAAATATTAAAAAACAACAGAAGTGGGGGAAAAAAACCCACGATGAAAATAAAAAAGAACACGATGGAAATGACAGGAACCAAAACATGTGAAGGATTTCACTAAGACACACTTAAAAGAAACTGAAAATTATCAGTGTTGTTATCAGGGAGAAAAAGATCAAATGGGTATTAAAAAAATAGGCATTTCTAATATGGAAATCTGTGAGAACTGATTTCCTTTGACACACTTTGGCCCAATATTTATGGCCCGGAGGTCGTTGCTTAGGGCAGATGAATTGAATCGAACAAGTGTGAAGCTGCCCTTGTGTACGAGTACATGCAAATCCAGCAGAGGGCACTGAATACGTGTGTGTTATCCTCCCCCCTCTTCTCTGTCCAGGCCATGGCTCGGGTGTGGAGAGATGGACAGAAGAAGACTGTGCACATCTACCGTCTTCTCACTGCAGGCAAGAACGCGTAAATACAAATTCCGAACAAACAAAAAAAAGTGCACCATATCAACAGTGTTTTAAAGTTTTGTTTCTTTCTCTCAGGCACCATTGAGGAGCGTATATTTCAGCGACAGGTGTCCAAACAGGGACTCTCTGGAACCGTGGTTGACATGGGGAAAGGGGCAGAGCACACGAGTTTCTCCACCAGTGACCTGCGAAATCTTTTCAGCCTGACGGAGACACCCTGCCTGACTCATGACCTGCTGAACTGTGGCTGCGGCATGGATGGCACACTCAGCGGTAGGCTCACATACACGCCACACATGCTGACACCAGAGCACGAAAAGACTGAAAATCATGCCTCCTCACATCTTTGCGGTCTTCATTTTCAGCTATCACAGAGGAGGAGGAGCTGGTTTCCGAACGGCCCTGCCAGCTCGGTCGTCAAGGTGACCGTAAGGGGGCGACACAGAAGCATCTCAGCATGTCCGAGCTCATGCAGTGGAGACATTTCTCCGGTGACACACACTCCTTCTCTGACCCCTACCTCGATCACGCGCGAAACAACATCACTTTCGCCTTCCAGACCACCATCTCTCACGCAACCCAGTAAACAACCAACTCGCGTGACGCACACTCGCATAGCTTTCTGCACAAACCTCTTCAGGTCCTCTGGACTTTGTCAGCCTCGATTTGACGTATGAATAACGCTCCACCACTGCTGCACGTTACGCTATTTCCAGTAGTTTTAAAACCGCTTTGCTCATGAGATTCTGTATTGCCCTAAAATATTCACCTTTTGTTTATTTATGCAAAATAATTCACTGTAAAATTCTATAACATGAGCATAAATGATTAAGAAATGTTTAACATTTGTCAGCGTTTGAAAAGTTCTTGCTGGTGGAAGAGGCGCATATAAAATACAGATTTATATCATGGGTACGGCCATTCAACAGACATTTCTATCCAAAGGAATATTTATTATGTCATTGGTAGGATTTATGTTTCTGTGGGGTGCCCAGTGAATGGAGAGAATGTATTTACATTCAAAAGAATTTGTTTACAGCAGTTTGCTTAGTGAGAATGAGCCCCCACCCACCCACCCATCCCAATGGGAAAGGCAAAGCATCTCTGGCCTCCACTGTCGTGCTTTAATGTCAGAATTTGTTATGCAATGACCACACACGTTACTGTGGAGCGAGCAAATCTGCTGGGCTGTCGATGTGGGCCATACTGCAGTCTGTTCAGTCTATTATTTTGGATGACACTGGTCTGTTCATGCTCTTCAACACAAAGCTGCCGCGTGGGAGTTACAGCATGTAGTTTCTGTGTGTGTGTGTGAGTGTGCACACCCAGAATTCACATATGATTTGAGTCTCGGTCTGTCAGATTGACTGTGCTCCAGTATACAATGCATTTCCATGAAGTGCAATTATCATTTATTTGAGGATCACCACTGTGCGTGATTGTTAAGCAACTTTGTTGTATAATAAATGGGTCTCTGGGATGATAACTTTTTTGTATGCATATGACAGTTGGACGATTACGCACACACCTGCTGTTATTCTGTGGACACAATGGGAATTGAAACACAACACTTCCTGTGCCAGGATTCGGCCTCACATGAACGTTGCATGTTGTGCAATATATTAAATATGTCATTTTGCTATCAAATGTAGGCCCTCCGGAAGCTCATCAGTTTAGGATGTAGAAATCACAAATAGAAGTGCAAGTATATGAAAGAAAACAGCAAAATGAACCTGCCTGCCTAAGTAAATGTGTGGATGCTAATTGAGATGTGCAGGTACTCGATAACTGACTGGTGTTGGGAATACAATTTATAGATAATTGGCTTCTACATACAGAGCCAAGATGTACACAGATATGTGGTGTTATACATTATTGTTTTAGTATGCTAGTGCTCCTCAGAAACTTTCATATATTTTATTTTCAATAAACGTGAGGTGAATATTTCAGTGTTAGTATAGCCAGTTTTGAATGCCAGAGATCGGAGCGCCAGGACTTTCACCTGGGACTGCCATCTGATCTACTAAGCACTGAACCCACATCACTTTTTTGGGCTAAGGCCTAGCCACCAGGACCTCGCGACACAGGGCAGTCGCTGGAGAGATTATCTCATCTGGCTGACTTGGAAACATCTTGTTGTCCTCCTGGAGGAGGTGGCATATTGGATGTTGTCAGAACCTTGAGGCGACTGGTTTGATTTGGGGCTAAATAAATAAAATTGAATCACCCATTAAAAAAGATTTATTTATTTTTATTGTTAGTGCTCTATGTGTACAGGAAATACCAGAGAACTGAATAGTTCCTGAGACCTTTTTTTTTTTTTTTTTTTTTTTTTTAAAGAGATTAACAGGAATGTCCAGCTTCTGAAAGGTATAATTATTTATAACCTTACTTCTTGGTTGGAGCTCCTTTACCACAAATTACTGTGTCAGTGTGTTGTAACATGGAGGTGATCAGCTTGTTGGACTCACTGAAGCCCAGGCTGCTTTTGCAGCAGTTTACAGATCATCTGTATTTCTGAGTCGGATATTTTTCATCATAGATCAGCAGTCAGCAGATGGAAGCATTAATTCTCTGAATCTAAAGTTTCCTTGTTAAACGCTTCACTGACTTTGGATTTGGTAAAACACAGAGGAGCAACCACTGCAAACATCAGCAGATGACCCACCGAATCACCAAACTGCACTGGATTGTGTCCCTCTCCACAGTTCTTCCAGACCTTGATTTCAAAATGAAATGCAAAGTTTACTTACCTCGGATCATTGAGCAACAGTGACGTAAAACTGTGTCTGGTTCAAGAGTGGTTGGATATTAGGAATATGACAGCCACAGCTCCTTTCCTGAAGACATCTGTGCTGATGGTGCTCCAGCACATGCCTCAGTCAGTCTTAGTGAGCCTCTCCCAAGTTCTTGAATTAACTTTTCTTAACAATCCTCTCAAGGTCACCATCACCCAGGTTGCTTTTTGCACTTTTTCCCTTCCAATGAACTTTCCAACAACAGGCTTCGCTGCAGCATCCTGAACAGTGACTTTGTGCGACTTACCCTCTGGGTGGAGAACCGTCTAGATCTTAATCTGGACAGTTCTCAAATCTGCAGTTTTCCCACATGATTGTAGCTGCATGTACTGAATTAGGCTGAAGAATACCTACATACAGTATTTATACTGTTTAAATAGTAATTTATAATAAAATATGAAACGCAACACTGATTTCTGATTTCCGTGAGCTATCTGATTGTTTTCTGCTTCCTCTGTATTATTGTAAGGTCTTTACCTTACAACATAAAGCACCTTGAGGCTGATTACTCCTGCTCTTCTGATTAGTTTTAGTCCTTTTAGTAGGTGAATAATAGAACCAAGTTAAAAAAGAATTCTACTGATGTGTGTAATATTCCCCAACTTAGTTCAAGCACCATTAAACAAAATTTCAGGGTAATCTGCCTGAAAACTTGGTAACCTCGTAAAGTAAGGACAGCATCTTCACCACAATTGAAAGTCCCTGAGTTCAGACATTAAAAAAAAAAAAAAGAGAGAGAGAGACCTTAGACAGAAACCAGTGGTGGCTTAGCAACTGTCACCAAGCAACTTACTACGGGTCCTGCTGCAGCTTGGCTTTGCTGATGTAAGATGCTGTTTGTTGTTTCAGAGTAATTGTATTTTGCGTCGCATCTCCTCGCTATTGTTATCGGACACGTGCCGGACTGAAGAGTGTCACTCTTCCAAACAGGATATTGATCCTAATCAGGTCTTTGAGGCCATGTGCTGGTGGGTGCGTGAGGTGGAATTTGTCTGTCTCTCTCTTCCTCTCTCTCTCTCTCTCTCTGTAAAGCTCTTACTGGCTGCCGCTGGCTGAACCTCCAATCCCCCTTTTAAGCCGAGTTCCAGCTCGACGATTTAAAGGGTGAATGACTTTCCGCCGCTGGAGGGGGAGGAAGGGACACGGTGGTTTTGATGAAGACAGATTGGGCACTTAGTCCTTGTGATCCCAGGACCTGAGTGGAAGATCTAACTACACTGTCACAGCTAGATAGCCAAACCTCTGATGTAACCCCCACTGAGGTTGCATTTCCCATATTTCATTCATTAATAGTCAAGGTGTCTCTGACGTCAAAGCTGGATAAATGTTTCAGAAATATTCCGACGCTTGTGCATCAGCATGGACACTAGATGCCATCTGTGCTTCTTATTTAGGATTCAGGATGTGAACTCGATGCTTGGTGGCTCCTCTGTGGATGCACTTGAGCTTGAGCAGATTTATGTGGTTGCTACCTAGCAAAGAATTAACACATTACATTGTTGAAAAGCAGACTGCCCTTCTGAAACAAATGTTCACCATCAGTTAGCTGGAATCCAATCCAATGGACAATATTGATCAACCTACTTATTCTCTGATTTTCTGTGGTGCTTCTTTTGCTATTGTTCCTGTACTGTTCTCTGTATAACTTTACAGGATTAGAAATAAAAGGCATAAAATATAGAAAATATTAGTTTAAAATCTTTAAACTAATGTCTTTAAATTTAAATCACAGACAATTTTTTGTGTTAGTCTTTTTAAAGTTTAAATATGTATTCTTGCAGCAACTGCATAAGCAGAAAAGCCAGTTAATGTTAAATTGGTTTATAAAATGCATAAAGCTTGAGATCCACATATTTAAGATTGTGCGCCTCCATCTGGTTTCTCTTTATCTCGCTACTTAACAGCTTACACACAGATGTGATTATCCCTCAAACCTGAAGATAATATTCTTTGTCTACGTCACAACACTTTTGTGGGTAGCATGAGGTTTGGGAGATGTTGCTTCAGGAAGGGGTTGGGTTCGAATCCAAGGCGGGTCTTTTGTGTGGAGAGTTTGCATGTTCTCTCCAGGCCTGTGTGGGTTTTCTCCAGGTACTCTGTCATCCCCTCACAGTACAAAGACATAAATCAGATAAGGTTAATTAATTGGTGAATTAACTGCAGGTATAAATGTGAGCGTGAATTGTTGTCTGTGTTTATGTGTATTAGTCCTCCAACTGAAGGTCGAACTGTCCCAGAGTCTTCCCCGCTTCTCGCCCTGTTACAGCTGGGATGGACTCCATCCTCCCCTTGAGCCTGAAGTGGAGAAGCAGAAGAAACAGATATTTTGGCACATTTATGCATCCCTTCTATCTCCTGTTGATGACAATTATTGTGCCGAGGAACGATTTCACACACATAACATCACAGATTGACAAACAGTAAATGCAGTACATGCCGCCTGACTTGTACAGGTTAATAATATTGTCAGATTAAAACCAGTTGACACATCTAGACAACAACAAAAACTCAATTCAACTTCAGTGTAAATTCCCAAAAGCAAATATTAAAGCTAAAACTGTTTCCTGGTCTTTTATGCGCAACTGGTTTCTCCTCAGCCTCCACCAGCATTTACGTTTCATTTCAACTTTGACTGAATCTCCCAGTTTTCCAGGCTGCTCCTTATTTTAAGGTGCACGTCCATCTTCTAATTTCAGGTACATGACCAACTATCATTACTATACTTCCTCCAAGAGACATTCTCCCCAAGTGTAGTATTTGTCTTTAAATTGTCTGCTGCATCACGTTTTACACCAAAATGAACCATCAGATCAGACTGGGATTAAGCTGGGGTTGAACTGGGCAGCTTCCGTGTATGAGCAGCACCTTCATCAAAATCTGTTTTGTATTAGGCGATAGGAAAAAAAAAAAATAGGTCACTTCTCACTCTCTCACCATCAACATCACCCTGCCAATCTGCAGCCCGCCAAAGTGTAACCCTTCCCTCAATCCCCTCCTCCTGACCCTGGGCCTGCTCCAGCACTTAACAAGGATTTAATGTTTCCCAGTCATCTGTCAAGCAGATCAGAGCTATAATGCAGAGCAGCAGGTCCCGCAGATGAGAGCGCAGCCCGTCAGTCCCGAAAGTCTGGAAAAACAACAGTCGGGGGTGGGCTGCATAATCCAACAATTACTGTAATAACCCTCAGTCGCTCAATCCCTC